ACTCTCCCCCTTCTCCGTGGGCTCCTTCTGCTCTGAATCGCGATCCTGTGGAGAAGGGGAAGAGGCAGAGGTGGGAGAAGAGGGAAGATCTGTCCCGACAGGACGGCCTGGAGGTGCTGCCTGTCCTGCAGGGGAGCAGGAGCGTGCCTGGAGATCCAGGATCTGCCTGGAAAACCCAGGACCTGCCTGGAAAACCCAGGATCTGCCTGGAAAACCCAGGGCCTGCCTGGAAAACCATGGACCTGCCTGGAAAACCCAGGGCCTGCCTGGAAAACCCAGGGCCTGCCTGGAAAACCCAGGATCTGCCTGGAAAACCCAGGCCCTGCCTGGAAAACCCAGGGCCTGCCTGGAAAACCCAGGGCCTGCCTGGAAAACCCAGAGCCTGGGCTGGGAAGCGCCCGGTGGGGCAGAGGGAAAGCTCAGAGCCGAGGATGTGAGGAGGAGAGGAGCCAAAGGCTGCCCTCAGCCAGGGATTTTGATACTGACATTCCCAGAGGAAAAGAAGGAAGGAAATTTCCACCTAGGAAATTCCAGCTGGGAATCTTCACTTCCAACAAGCTCCAAGCCAGGGGCAGCGAGTCAGCAGCTGCTCCCACAAATTCCTGATCCCTCCCGGTGGGAACGGAGCATCCCGTGCCCTGCACAGCGCCGGGGACACCGGATCGAGCCTGGAGAGAGCGAGAAGAGAATTCCAGGCTCGCTCCGGGTGTCCCAGGAGCTCCCCGCTCCCTCCTGGACCCTGGGGATGGCTTTTCCAGGGCTGTGTCTGGAGCATCCCGTGCCCTGCACAGCGCCGGGGCCACCAGATCGAGCCTGGAGAGAGGGAAAAGAGAATTCCAGGCTCGCTCCGGGTGTCCCAGGAGCTCCCCGCTCCCTCCTGGTCCCTCGGGATGGCTTTTCCAGGGCTGTGTCTGGAGGACCACAAATCCCCGGGGCCACCAGGCGAGGAGAAAGGAGGTGCCGCCGCTTCCCGGGGAGGCTCGGAGCGGCTCGGTGCCTCCTCCGACATCTGCACCGGCGGCTAATGAATACAAACGAGCGCCCCGTGCCCCGCCGGGGGGTCTTTAACACTTCACACGTCGCGGTGACAGTGAGCGATGGTCCCCGCAGGCAGCGCCCGCATCCCGGGGCGGCCCCTCCGCGCCGGGAGATGAATGGATGAGCGCTCGGCAGACGCGGCACCGCCGTCATTTGTCATCCGCCGCCTCCCTTTAACCTTTCGGCAGCAAAATCCCATTTGGGCGCCGCCAGCGCGGGGTCGGTACCTGCGAGGGCCCCGCTGGGTCAGGGAGGGGCGGCGGTGATCGATGCCTCCTCCCGGATAATCGCATCCAGCGCCCGGCAGATATGGATGGGCTCCCGCCTTTGATCCCATCATCCAATTAGTGCCCCACGGAATGCAATTAGCGCGGCTGGAGCCACGTGGGGCGCGGGATGGGGCATGGAGGAGGGGGATTCCTGTCTGCCCACCTGGGATGCGCTGGGAAGCGCCGGGGAGGGAAGGAGGAAAGTCCTGTTTGGCCAAATCCTGATCTTCCCCCCACCACCCTCATTTTGGACCATCCTCAGCCTCTCCCGGGACCCGGTTTCCCACCCCATGCCCGCGTTTCTCACCCTGGACCCCATCCAGCCCTCCCCGCCTTATCTCGGCCTTATCTCGCTCCTTATCTCGGGTTTGCTCCCACAGCCTCCTTCTCCCGGTTTCTGCGGGCAAGTGGTGACAGCCGGGGCTCATCAGCTTCCTCTCCTCGGGATCCTCCTCCTGGGAGCCCTGGTGGTCCTGGTCCAGCGGCCACCTGCCCATCCCTTCCACTGCAGGTGTTTTTGGAGTGGAAGAATTGTGGAATTACAGAATGGTTTGGAAAACAGCTTAAATCCCATCCCATTCCCACCCCATCCATGGGCACAGACACCTCCCACTGTCCCAGGTGGATCCAGCCTGGCCTTGGGCACTGCCAGGGATCCAGGGGCAGCCACAGCAAATCTGGGAATTCCAGCACAGCCCCTCCCCACCCTTCCAGCCAGGAATTCCTTCCCAAAATCCCACCCAATCCCTGCCCTGTTTCAGTCCAGGACAGCCCTGCCCGTGGCACACGATGGGAAAAGCCACCCCACAGGTGCGTGAGGGCATCTCCCAACGTCCCAAACCTTCTCCTGCCGCGTTCCCAGGGCTCCCTGGAGGAGGGAAATCCCACCTGGAGGAGTCAGACTCACCTGGCAGCTCCACTTCCCGATGATCCCAGCGGGAAGGAGGTGAGGAAGTGAACCGAGGTCAAGGTGAGGAGGGACACTCAGAACAGCTGCTGGAAAACGTTCGTCTCGCCTGGATCAGGGAAAACCAGGAGGAAAGGAAAACCTTCCTGCTTGGGGTGGCCTGTGGGGTGGGTGGGTGTCCTGGTCAGGGCCAGGAGTGAGGCTGGGCGATCCCTGGGGGTCCCTTCCCACCAGGACATTCCCTGATTCCATGGTTTGGTGAAAAATGGGCTAGCAACGCATCCCTGGGGCTGGAACAGCGGCTCAGGGCTGGGAGGGCACGAGGGGCGACAGTGAGGACACGAGGGGTGTCCTGAGGACAGGAGGGATGTCCTGAGGACACGAGAGGCGTCCCGAGGACACGAGGGGTGTCCCAAGGACATGATGGGTGTCCCAAGGACATGAGGGGTGTCCTGAGGACATGAGGGGTGTCCTGAGGACATGATGGGTGTTCCAAGGACATGATGGGTGTCCAAAGGACACAAGGGGCGTTCTGAGGACATGATGGGTGTCCTGAGGACACGAGGGGTGTCCCAAGGACATGATGGGTGTCCCAAGGACATGATGGGTGTCCCGAGGACATGATGGGTGTTCCAAGGACACGAGAGGCATCCTGAGGACATGAGGGGTGTCCCAAGGACACGAGAGGTGTCCTGAGGACATGATGGGTGTTCCAAGGACACGAGGGGTGTCCCGAGGACATGATGGGTGTCCTGAGGACACAATGGGTGTCCTGAGGACACGAGGGGAGACCCAAGGACATGAGGGGTGTCCCAAGGGCACGAGGGGTGTCCCGAGGACATGAGGGGTGTCCCAAGGGCACGAGGGGTGTCCTGAGGACATGATGGGTGTCCCAAAGACACGAGGGGTGACAGGAAGGACACAAGGGGCGTCCTGAGGACATGATGGGTGTCCTGAGGACACGATGGGTGTCCCAAGGACACGATGGGTGTCCCAAGGACACGATGGGTGTCCCAAGGACATGAGGGGTGTCCTGAGGACATGATGGGTGTCCTGAGGACACGAGGGGTGTCCCGAGGACATGATGGGTGTCCCAAGGACACGAGGGACGTCCTGAGGACACGATGGTGTCCCCAGGACACGATGGGTGTCCTGAAGACATGATGGGTGTCCCAAGGACACGAGGGGTGTCCTGAGGACACGATGGGTGTCCCAAGGACACGAGGGGTGACAGGAAGGACACGAGGGGTGACAGGGCTGGTGGCAGAGCCAGCCATGGGGACCCTGGGGAGCCCCGGGGCCCCGCTGAGGTTTGGCCCCGCTCCGGGCAGCAGGTCAGGGCCTGGCCATACCCAGAGGGACATCAGTGCCACTGCAGCACCCCAAATCCCTGCCCCAAACCCCACCCGTGCTGCGCTCCCTGATCCCTGCACCGGGAAGGACTGAGATCCTCTGGATTGTCCAGGATCCACAGGATTTTACAGGATCCATGGATCCAGGAAGGTCTGAGAACCTCTGATCCAGGATTGTCCAGGATTATCCAGGATCCATGGATCCAGGAAGGTCCAGGGTCCTCTGATCCAGAAGGTCTGATCCAGGATAACCCAGGATCCACTGATCCAGTCAGATCGGAGATCCACTGATCCAGGATGATCCAGGATCCATTGATCCAAGACAGTCCAGGATGCTCTGATCCAGAAGGTCTGAGATCCACTGATCCAGGATGATCCAAGATCCACTGATCCAGGATGATCCGAGATCCTCTGATCCAGGACAGACCAGGCCCCACTGATCCAGGATGATCCAAGATCCCTTCCCACCCTCTCCCACTGGATTCCCACGGTGCCGGACCACGTCCTGTCCCCAAATCTCCAGCTCCCACCTGGAGCATCCCAAAATTCACCAGGAAAAGGGGATGGGGGTGGCACAAAGGTCCTTAACCCTGGCACTGGGGAGGTTTCCTGGATTTTTGGGTCCTCCCTGGACCTGCCGTGGGAGGAGATGGAATTTTCCTCTTTTTTCCATTACCAGGAAATGCTCAGAAATATCCTGGTGAAATCTGGGAGATTCCCACCCTCCTTTTTCCCTCCCTTGTAGGGAAAAGCCCCTGGCAGAGGTGGAGTCACCAACAATTCCAGGGAATGTTTTCCTTCCCACTGCTCCGAGTTAACATCTGGGAATGCCCGTGCCAGGATCTGCCAGAAACCAGCAGGGATAAAGGGCTTAAAAAACGGGATTTGGAGGAATTCATGGAATATAAACCATCAGGAATCTCTGCCATCCCATGGATATCCCCTAAATCCTTCACCCTACACAAACCCCACATCACCTGCTTGAGCCATCCCGTGAAATCTCCACATCTCCAGAATCCTGGAGTGGTTCGGGTGAAAAGGGACCTTAAATCCCGACCAGTTCCATGGGCAAAGACAATTCCCACTGTCCCAGGTGGATCCAAGCCCAGTGTCCAGCCTGGCCTTGGGCACTGCCAGGGATCCAGGGGCAGCAAATCTGGGAATTCCAGCCCAGCCCCTCCCCACCCTCCCAGGGAGGAATTTTTGGTTAGAAACCAACTAAAATCCCCCCAAATTTGGGCAAAACTTGGCTTCTGCTCAGGACAACGAGGGAAGGTGGAATCCAATGCTCATCCAGGGATTTTCTTCCCCTTGGATCCCCCATAAACCTGGGTGTTCCAGCAGCCAGGTGTCCGAAGGGGATGTGGAATTTTATCCTTTGTGGGATTTAGGGGTCGGGTTTTTCCCCGGGGGTGCACAGAGCCAGACGAGGTGTTAATGAAACAGTTAAATGCTGTATTTGTTTAATTGGAATTACACCAGGATAAATGTCCAACATGCTAATTTCTAACAGAATTGAACCTGTAAACCATGCAGACCTTTCTCCAACCATTCCAGCTCTTTTTCCTCTTGGAATCAGTAGCTCTGCTAGCGAGTTTTAAGGAAAAAAACCCCAAAAATACAAAAAAACAAACCAAAACAAACCAACAACAAAATTCCCTTTAAAGTTAAACCTAATTTGCTAAATTTTCCCCTTATTGTGCAACGACTTGTGCAAAAAAAGCTGTTTTCACCACCTCGGTTCCCAAAATCAGGTCCTTCCACCCCAAAATCAACGGGAAAAGGCAACCCCGGCGGGCAGGGAGGGATGTGGGATGGGAGTGTGGGGGGTTTTCCTGGCAAAATCTGAGGGATGAGCCAAGGCAGGGAGCAGCTTGGATTGGACAGGATTCCAGAGCTTCCCATGGAATTTTCGGGAAGCTGCAGGTGGGGATGGATCCCAGCTCTGGGAAAAGCTTCCCAAATCCAGCCCTGGGGGCAAGGGAGGGGCTGGAGGTTGGAGCAGCAGATTTGGGGTGAAGCAAAGCCCCCCCCGAGCTCCCCCCCTCCATCCCGGCGTTTTTGGGGTGAATCCCAGCCAATCCCGGTGTGTTCGGGTCGCTTCCCGCTGATCCACGGCGTTCCCAGAGGACAGCAGAGCTGGGATCATCCCGGAGTCATTTGGGATGGGGTTTGTGGGATTTGTGTTCCCTTGGAGCTGCCAGCAGTGGGATAAATTATGGAATTGTGCTGGGGGGGATACGAGGGGTCTCCAGCCCTGTGGAGCTGTAGGAAAAATGGGACAGATATCCCAAAAATCCTGGGACACGAATCCAGCTGGAGTGTGGGACGGTGTTTGGATGCTCCAAACCCCTCCAAGGCCCTAAAAAGCACCAAACCCAAACCAGAACTAACGGGAAAAGCCCGGCGGAGGCAGGAGACACCCAGGGCTGAGGAATCTCTGCCTGGGATTCGGATTCTGGCTGGAATTTGATCCCAAAACTTTGGCACGAGGGACGTGACAGCAGCGATGCCCCCGGAGCAGCCCCAGCTCCATCCCAGCCTCGCTTCCAAGGAATCTGGGGCCACCATGACCCTTCCCACAGCTCCTGCCCGAAATTCCACCTTCCCCAAAGCCGCCAATCCCAAAACAGCATCATCCCAATTTTTCCTGTCCCCATCCAAGCGGGAGCTGGGATTGGATCTGGAACAAAGTGCAAAAATCACTGGGAGCATAACTCCAGAACTCCAGCCCCAGGAATACCCAAAAAATCCCAGGAAAACCCCTCCTTTCCCACCTCCCATCCTATGGATGGGTTGGGCTGCACATTCCCACTCTGGACACCTTTTATGGGATTATTCCCAACTCCTGGAATGCCTGACAACTCCTGAAGAAGGAAAGAAGCTTCTTAGGAAGCCAAATTTGGGTTTTAATATAATTTTTCCCACTGGTGCTGGAATACATTTGCCGGAGCCACGAGAAATCATGGGATAATCCAATTTCCTTTTGTTAAAAAATAAAATCCACTAAGGAATGTTCCCTGGATGTGGAGCCAGGTGTGAGAGCAGCATTATTTATTCTGGGAAGCTGGAAATCTTGGATTTGGGTCCTGCCCCCGTTTCCCACCCCCTTTTAAATTCCCTGCAGTGACTTTTCCCTCCTAAGCAATTCCATCCGTGTCGGAGGACACCCATCATTAGGAAGAGACTGAGAGGGGATTTGGGATGTCTTCCAGGGCTGGTTTTTTTTTTTTTGGGGCAATCTGTTTAAAAGATTAATTTTGTTTGGAAGTGATGGAACATCTCTTGGAACAAAAAGTTAATTGGGACCAGAGTCCCAAAATCCCATTTTTCATCCCGGGCTCTGACTTGCGGTTCCGGCTCTTGACCTCCCGAGATCAGGAACTCCCAGAATCTCTCCCCTGGCCGGATTTGACTTTCCCAGCAGCAAATCCTGAGTGCCAGGAGCCGGTTTGGAGGATCCCAATCCTGGTTTTCCCAAAAGGAACCTGAAGGAGCGGGGATGCCCATCCCAGGTCGCTGCTCCTGGAATTACAGTTCAGGGAGATGGGAAGGAGAGTCCAGCGTGGATTTGGGAAGGGTGGGAGCTGCCTGGGAAATGAGACCTTGCCTCGGCTGTGCGGGGGATTTTTTGTGGGAATCTTTGTGGGAATCACACCTCGTGGAGTGAATTATAGGAGAGGAAAACGGAATTTCAGGATGGCAGCACAAAACCCCTTCCCTGTGTCCTGGAGTTTCTGCTCCTTGTCCATCCCACTCGGAATTCCCATCCCTTGTCCCTCTCTGGGTCACTTCCAGAGGTGTCTCCAAAGCCGATCCCTTTTTGGCCACGGTGACTCCAACTTTCCTTCACCTGCTGCTTTTCCCGTCATTCCTCTTCCACATCCCTCCAGGAGGAGCTCACAAGGAACCCCATATCCCTGTCCAAACCCAAGGAATTGCAAATTTTCCCTCTTATTAATGAAAACAACCCCTTGGTCCCTGCAGCTGGAGATGGCTGGGACAGCCCAAGAGCTCCAGGGGGTCATTCCTGACTGAGTTCCCGTTTAATTTTGGGATTGAGCCAAAGGAACCTTCTCCAAATGAAAACCAATCCCAAAATATTGCTGAGGAGCAAGGCGGGAAGGCAAAACCTCTGGATGCATCCAGAGGGTTGGGAATGGGCACAGGAGCAGCAGCTCAGGGCTGCAACAACCACCGGGGAGATCGGAATTCCCTTCGAGGGTTTGGGAATGTGGCTGGATAATGTGAGGAATTAAGAGGCAAAATGGTGACAAGATAGAGAAGGGTGAAAATTCCCCTCTGGAACTGGAATCCTGGGATTAAATCCTTCTGGTGGCCACCTGGTTTGAGCAGAGGATTTCTGGGGGCCTTCGGAACAGGGGGAATTTTATCCACAGGCACTTTGGAGCAGCGCGGCTCCATGGGGGATCTCCCACTGCTCCAGGAGATTCCCACTGATCCAGCTCCAAAACATCCCGGGGAAGTTTTCCCCATGGAAAACCACCAGGAGGAGAGGGAAGGTGGGACACCAGCAGGGAAAAGAGAGGGAAAAACCCTTCCTGGACACCAGGAGATCCCAGTGTCCCTTCCCACTCCCCATCCATGGATGTCCCCAGCAGCATCCCAGCCCTGGAGCGCTGCCACAGGACACATTCCCAAATTATCCTTCAGCTGTCCCTTCCCAAATCTAATCCAGGTGGCCACTCCAAACCCTTCTCCATGATCCCACAGCCCCTGGCAGGTCCCAGAGTGGAGCTCAGGGATGGGAAAGGGTCGCAATTCCAGGGATTTGCAGTCTGATGTGGGAATCAGCCAGTGGAGGGTGAAAAGAGGAGGGAAAAAAACCTGGGAAATCCCTTTTTCCTGCCTAAATCCAAACCACAGGACACACCCAGGGTGACCTTCCTCCCTCTGCCCAGAGACCCCGCAGCTCTTCCCAGATTTCTCAGTTTTCCAAGGGAATAAATTAACAAAAGGAAGGCAGGATGATCCCTTCAATTTGGCTTTGACAAAAAAAAAAAGAAAAAAACCCAAAAAAAACCAAATCAAACAACCCAATCCGGGTGTGAACTTCTCCCAGGCTCCAAGAATTCCCATCGCTTCCTAAACCCCTGAAAATAGGAGTTTATCCAGGAGACTCCTGCCACCACCTCTTTTCCCGGGATTGTTCCGCCGGGAGGGTTTTGCCGCCGGGGGGAGGCTCCGCGGAGACTTTCCGGGCGAATAAAAAAATACAAATCTTCTCTCCCAACGAGATTCCCGAAGTCCCGGCTGCGGGAAGGGCATCCCGAGCCCCTCAGGAGTGGTGGCTGTTGATGAGGCCGCGCAGCTGCTTGGCCACGGTGTCGATCAACTTCTGCTTGTCCCGCTCGTTTTTCCGGAATTGGGCGAAAACGTTGTTTTTCCTGCTGGTGTCCCGCATCCTGCACGGAGCACAAACACGTTATGGAACAGGGATTGGGAATGTTCAGTGGTCTGAGAGGAGAATATGGAATTTCAAGCCTCTACACCAAATTTTGGGGGATTTTTAAGGCTTAAATCCCTCTAATCCCAAACAACGCCACTTTGGGGTCTCCCAATTCCCACTGTTTTTTCTGGAATTGGGTGAAAATGTTGTTTTTCTTGCTGGTGTCCTGCATCCTGCACAGAGCACAGACAGGTGATGGAACAGGGATTGGGAATGTCCAGCCTCAGAGAGCAGGACATGGAATTTTAAGGGTCTACACCATTTTTTTGGGCATTTTTCCTGCCAATAAACATCACTTTGGGATCTCCCAATTCCCACTCATTTTCCTGGAACTGGGGGAAAACATTTTTCCTGCTGGTGTCCCACATCCTGCACAGAGCACAAACAGGTTATGGAACAGGGATTGGGAATGTTAAGCGGTCTGAGAGGAGAACATGGAATTTCAAGCCTCTACACCAATTTTTGGGGGATTTTTCAGGCTTAAATACTTCTAATCCCAAACAAGGCCACTTTGGGGTCTCCCAATTCCCGCTGTTTTTTTCTGGAATTGGGTGAAAATGTTGTTTTTCCTGCTGGTGTCCTGCATCCTGCATGGAGCACAAACAGGTGATGGAACAGGGATTGGGAATGTCCAGCCTCAGAGAGCAGGACATGGAATTTCAAGTGTCTACACCAATTTTTTGGGCATTTTTCATGCCAATCAACGCCACTTTGGGATCTCCCAATTCCCACTCATTTTCCTGGAACTGGGGCAAAACATTTTTCCTGCTGGTGTCCCGCATCCTGCACGGAGCACAAACACGTTATGGAACAGGGATTGGGAATGTTCAGCAGTCTGAGAGGAGAACATGGAATTTCAAGCATCTAAACCAAATTTTGGGGGATTTTTCAGGCTTAAATCACTCCAATCCCAAACAATGCCACTTTGGGGTCTCCCAGTTCCCACTATTTTTTCTGAATTGGGTGAAAATGTTGTTTTTCCTGCTGGTGTCCTGCATCCTGCACGGAGCACAAACAGGTGATGGAACAGGGATTGGGAATGTCCAACACTCAGAGAGCAGGACATGGAATTTCAAACATCTACACCAATTTTTTGGGCAGTTTTCATGCCAATCAACGCCACTTTGGGATCTCCCAATTCCCACTCATTTTCCTAGAATTGGGGGAGAACATTTTTCCTGCTGGTGTCCCGCATCCTGCACGGAGCACAAACACGTTATGGAACAGGGATTGGGAATGTTCAGCGGTCTGAGAGGAGAATATGGAATTTCAAGGCTCTACACCAAATTTTGGGGGATTTTTCAGGTTTAAATCACTCCAATCCCAAACAATGCCACTTTGGGGTCTCCCAATTCCCGCTGTTTTTTCTGGAACTGGGTGAAAATGTTGTTTTTCCTGCTGCTGTCCTGCATCCTGCACAGAGCACAGACAGGTGATGGAACAGGGATTGGGAATGTCCAGCCTCAGAGAGCAGCACATGGAATTTCCAGGCTCTACACCAATCTTTTTTTTTTTAAGTTTTCATGCGTGTTTTTGCTTTAAACCCCTTTAATCCAAATCAACGCCACTTTGGGATCTCTCCCTAATTCCCAAGTGCAGGAAATCCTAAATCCTCCCTCTTCCAAACAGGGAATTTTCCATCCCCATGTCACCTTCTGGGGCGGCGATGGAATTTGAGGAGGAAATTTGAAAATCAGCACGGAATCCACGGAATTAAGGCTTTTTACTTCAAACTTGCATGCTCGAGGTGCAGCTTTAGGGGAGGCTGGGAAGGCCTGGAGCTGTGAAATTAAATTTTATAAAATATTCCAGGGAATCACGGGATGTTTGGGTTGGAAGGGACCTTAAATCCCATCCATTTCCAGCCCCCTGCCCTGGGCACCATCCCATTTTTTTCCTGATGAATAAAAAAAAAATTAATTATGTAAATGTATATAATTTATATTAAATGTAACACGGAATAATTGCCATTCCAGGAAGGAATCCAGCTGTTTGGAAGGAGCATGGTGTCTCCAGGAGGTCTCCATAAATCCAGAGCCCAGCAGAGCAGGAGGTGGGATGGGGGCAAAGCTCGGGGGGTGTTATGCACTCCTGCATTCCCAAATCCATATTTTTGGGGGGGAACAGGGCTTGGGATATTCCCAGGGGTGCTGGGAAGGGAAAAGATCCCACAGGATCAACCTTCCAGCAGCTCCTGAAGGCACAACCTCCCAAAATCCAACCTGCTGGGGCTCGGCTCTTCCAAATTATCCCGATTTGCGAAAGATTTTCTGGGTAAATCAGATGTGGCAGAGGCTGAGGGCTTTGGATGCATCCCATAATCCCAGTTTTTGGCTGTGGGGACCAAAAGGAAGTGCTGAAGTGGCAAGGACACGGTGCTGATGATCCGTGGGAAGCTGGCACTGGATCATCCCGAGGGTCTGGAGTCAGCCGAGCGCAACCCCAACCTCTCCAAACTTCCGGAACACAAACAAACATCCAAGGTTTTCCAGGCTTCCTCTTCCTAGAAAGAGCCACAGGGAATCTGAAATGCTCCCAAAAACACCAGGCTTGGAACTGGAATCCAGGATAACACCTTTATCCAAAGGGGAATTCACTGGGGTTACCAGGGACGGAGCTGCTCTCCCAACAGGAACAGGAGAGCTTGGAGCACTTCCAGTCATTAAAAAAAAATGTAATTTGTTTGTTTTGTGCGATTTTTCAGCTGGAGCAGGTTGGCAGCTGCTCCTCCAGGAGAGCCAGGGAGCGATTGTGCCAGCGGGAAGCGGAGTTTGGAGTCACCCAGGTCCTGCTATAGTGGATCTGGGGATAATTATCCTCCCCTGGAGCTCCAAACAGCTCCAGGAGGTCTCTAAGCCCTTCCCCAGGAAGGCTGGGAGCTCTCTGGGGTTCCAGAGGGACTCAGAGGTGCTGGAAGTTGATCTGTACCTTTGGAAAGCCCTTCCCAGCCCTTCCACACACTGGGAATTTGGAGCTTTTCCATCCCAGCACCTCTGGGGCCATCCCCCACCCCACGGGAGCTGCTCAGGTCCATGGAATGTTTTGGAAGCAGAGCACATTCCGTGCAAGGAAACCTTGGGGTGTGTTGGGATGACTGGGAAGGAGCAGGATGGATAAACCTCAGGATCAGGAGGGAAAGGGATTGAAAAGCTGGAGCCCTGATCCAACAAAAAACCCAAAGAAGTGGATTTGGAAAAGTCTGGGAGCTGCTGGAATTTCCAGACACCATGTGAAGATGCAAGCACCGAGACGTTAAATATTATTAATTAATCCAGGTGCCTACAGGACAGAAAATCCTGCAGGATTCAGGTTAGGCTGTGCAGATCCACAGATTTTTTCCTGAGCAGAGCTTTGGGATAACTGGGAGCATCCATAACAAACCCACAGAGATGAATCTGGAAAAGTCTGGGAATATCTGGGAGCAGCTGGGATCTCCAGACACCACGTGAAGATGCAAGCACTGAGATATTAAATATTATTAATTAATTAAGCTGCCTACAGGACAGAAAATCCTGCAGGATTCAGGTTGGGATGTGCAGATCCACAGATTTTTTCCTGAGCAGAGCTTTGGGATAACTGGGAACACCGTTAACAAAACCCACAGAGGTGGATGTGGAAAAATCTGGGAGCTGCTGGGACCTCCAGACACCACATGAAGATGCAAGCACTGAGATGTTAAATATTATTAATTAATTAAGCTGCCTACAGGACAGAAAATCCTGCAGGATTCAGGTTGGGCTGTGCAGATCCATGGGGGTTTTTTCCCTGAGCAGAGCTTTGGGATAAATGGAAGCACCCATAACAAACCCACAGAGATGAATCTGGAAAAGTCTGGGAGCTGCTGGAATTTCCAGATGCCACGGGAAGGTGCAAGCACTGAGCTATTAACTATTATTAATTAATTGAGCTGCCTACAGGACACAAAAAATCCTGCAGGATTCGGGATGGGCTGTGCAGATCCACAGATTTTTTTCCTGAGCAGAGTTTTGGGATAACTGGGAGCACCATAAACAAAACCCACAGAGGTGGATGTGGAAAAGTCTGGGTATATATCTGGGAGCTTTGGGATCTCCAGACACCACGTGAAGATGCAAGCACCGAGACCTTAGATATTATTAATTAATCAAGCTGTCTACAGGACAGAAAATCCTGCAGGATTCAGGTTGGGCTGTGCAGATCCACAGTTTTTTTCCCTGAGCAGAGCTTTGGGATAACTGGGAGCGCCCATAACAAACCCACGGAGATGAATCTGGAAAAGTCTGGGAGCTGCTGGGATCTCCAGGCACCACGTGAAGATGCAAGCACTGAGACATTGACTCTTATTAATTAATTGAGCTGCCTAGAGGACAAAAAATCCTGCAGGATTTGGGATGGGCTGTGCAGATCCACAGTTTTTTTTTCCTGAGCAGAGCTTTGGGATAACTGGGAGCACCATTAACAAAACCCACAGAGGTAGATGTGGAAAAGTCTGGGAATATCTGGGAGCTGCTGGGATCTCCAGACACCACGTGAAGGTGCAATCACTGAGCTATTAACTATTATTATTAATCGAGCTGCCTACATGACAAAAAATCCTGCAGGATTCGGGATGGGCTGTGCAGATCCACAGATTTTTTCCTGAGCAGAGCTTTGGGATAATTGGGAGCATCCATAACAAACCCACAGAGATGAATCTGGAAAAGTCTGGGAGCTTTGGGATCTCCAGACACCAGGTGAAGATGCAAGCACTGAGACATTAAATACTATTAATTAATTGAGCTGCCTACAGGACAGAAAATCCCGCAGGATTTGGGATGGGCTGTGCAGATCCATGGGGGTTTTTTCCCTGAGCAGAGCTTTGGGATAACTGGGAGCACCATTAACAAAACCACAGAGATGAATCTGGAAAAGTCTGGGAGCTGCTGGAATTTCCAGACACCACGTGAAGATGCAAGCACTGAGACATTGACTCTTATTAATTAATTGAGCTGCCTACAGGACAAAAAATCCTGCAGGATTTGGGATGGGCTGTGCAGATCCACAGATTTTTTTCCTGAGCAGAGCTTTGGGATAACTGGGAGCATCCATAAACAAAACCCACAGAGGTGGATGTGGAAAAGTCTGGGAATATCTGGGAGCTGCTGGGATCTCCAGGCACCATGAGAAGATGCAAGCACCGAGATGTTAAATATTATTAATTAATCCAGCTGCCTACAGGACAGAAAATCCTGCAGGATTCAGGATGGGCTGTGCAGATCCATGGGGGCTTTTTTCCCTGAGAAGAGTTTAAGGGATAACTGGGAGCATCCATGACAAACCCACAGAGGTGGATGCGGTGAAATCTGGGAGCTGCTGGGACCTCCAGGCACCACGTGAAGATGCAAGCACTGAGACATTAAATATTATTAATTAATTAAGCTGCCTACAGGACACAGGATCCTGCAGGATCCGGGATGGACTGTGCAGCTCCCCTGCTCTATTTCTCCGAGCAGAGCTTTGGGATAACCTGGGTTTGGATGCCAGTCCCAGGATGAGGAGTGAAAGGAAGGGAAAGGCGAGCTCGGCGCTGTCCCCACCCCTGTCAACAAACACCACCTCGCAGAGAGCCGAGCTTTGTCTCAATTAATCCGGGAGGGGAAGAAAGCAGCGAGTAAAAGCTCCTCTTTTAGCTGTAATTAGTGCATCTGGGAGGATCGGGTTGCGCAGGGCCCCGCTCCGGAGGCACTTTGCATTTCCAGCGCTTTGGCTCCATTGAGAGCGGACAATCGGGGCGAGGGTGAGAGCCCGAGCGAGCGCATACTTACACCCGGGATATCCTGGGAGAGAGACGCACCGCCGTGATAAGGGACACAGATAGCCGGGAGAACAGCTTACAGCCCCAGCCGGCCCCGCTCGGAATTCCCAACGGAATTCCCGGCGGGATGGGAGGCAGAGGATGTGCCTGGAGAGCTCGTGGGGGATGGACAGAGACCCTCAGAGGGGATCCCTGGCAGTGCCCAAGGCCAGGATGGACACTGGGGCTTGGAGCAGCTGGGACAGGGCGAGGTGTCCCTGCCCATGGATGGGATGGGAATGGGATGATCCTTAAGGATCCTTCCAACCCAACCCATTCCAGGATTCTGGAGCTCCTTGGCTCTGGGAGAGATGGGAATGTTCCCCTGGAGAAGGGAAAACTCCAGGGAATGCTCAGAGTCCCTGAAGGGGCTCCAGGAGAGCTGGAGAGGGACTGGGGACAAGGGACAGAGGGACAGGAGCCAGGGAATGGCTCCCACTGGGAAAGGGGAGCTTGGGCTGGGATCTTGGCAAGGAATTCCTGGCTGGGCTGGAATTCCCAGATTTGCTGTGGCTGCCCCTGGATCCCTGGTTGTGCCCAGGGCCAGGCTGGATCCACCTGGGACAGTGGGAGGTGTCCCTGCCCATGGATGAGGTGGGAACGGGATGATCCTTCAGGCTCCTTCCAACCCAAACCATTCCATGATTCCATGACTTTATGGAGTGAGCCAGGCTGGGGGTTGGTGACATTTCAACACCCCTGAGCATGGAGCTGCTCTCCTGCTGTTCCACCACATTCCCAACCCCTGCCATGATCTCAGCTCACTGCCTGCCTCACCCCCCCGGCTCTTCCCGGTGCTGCACGGCCGAGCTCCCAGATTTTTGGGCACATCTTTATTTTAGCATTTTACCGTCAGCTCTGAGTTAACCTCTCGCAGCTCGGACGCTGGGTCATGGATTGGCCGTGTAACACGGAATTATTCCGGCTGGAAGAGCCCTCCAAGGTCACCAAACCCAACCATCCCCCGTCACTTCCACACCCACCCCTGACCCACGGCCCCGAATAACCCAGAGATAACACAGCCCATCAAACACCAGTATAAACACAACGCCACGAGGTGTGAAAGTCCTTTTAAACCCAGTTTGGTGCCCGTGTCCCTCCCTGGTGCCCTCAGGGTGTCCCGAGGTGCCGGGATATCCGTGCCGGGATATCTGTTCTTCTCTGCTGGTGGGGAGCAGCTGGACCATGATGACACAGAGGGAACCCCGAAGTTCACAAACACCCCAAGGCCACTCACAGAATCAGAGATTCAGGAAAAATTTGGGTTGGAAGGGACCTTTAAAGCCCATCCAGTGCCACCACTGTCCCAGGGTGCTCCAAGACCCGTCCAACCCGGCCTTGGACACTTCCAGGGATGCAGCTTGGTTTGGATTAACCACGGAATCAGAGCGTGGGGAGCAGTTTGAGGTGATTTGGGATCTCTCCTTCTCCTGGAGGAGGGGGTGGATGACTTTAGAGTTGGGGCCACACTTCCAGAAGAACATCCAAGGCCCCAGGATCCCTGGAAGTGTCCAAGGCCAGGTTGGACAGGGCTTGGAGCAGCCTGGGATAGTGGGAGGCATCCTGCCCATGGATCTGGATGGGCTTTAAGGTCCTTTTCCCACCCAAACCATTCCATGATTCCACGAGGATCCCCTCTCCTGCCCGCTCCTCCACGCAGGACCCAGCAGCGCAGCGCCCGTGCCAGGAGCTGCTCGGAAAACACTAAATTCCCACTTTTTGGCTCGGAAAACGGCCTGGGAGGTCTGCCGGGAGCGGGAGCAGGGTGGATCCTTCCCGAGCCAGCTTGGAGCTGGACCAGCGGAGATCATCTGGGAGACCCACCACGGGCAGGGGTGACAGGCAAAGCAAATCCCGCTTTTCCTGCGGGAAAATCCCTGCAGGACTGGCACAGCCCCCCGGGAGCCACCCCGGAGCCCCGGCACCGCTCCAGGATTCGGGATGGAGCCGTGTGGGAACTGCGGCCCCCAAAGGATGGACTGAGGGAGCTCCGGAGGCTCCTCCGGCCCCACGGGATCGGGATCGGGATTGGGGATCTCCGGGAACCCGCGGGAGAAACGGGAACAGGAACGAATGGGAATAGAAGGAGATGGAAATAAAAATGTGTATATATATTTATATATATATATATATATATATATGATGGGTAGAAGTAGAAAGAAATGGAGATAAAAATATGGAAATAAATAGAAATATAGAAATATGGAAATATAGAAATATGGAAATATTGAAATATGGAAATATTGAAATATGAAAATATGGAAATATAGCTAAAAATACAGAAACAGAAATAAATAGGAAATAAAATATAGGAATAGAAATAAAATACAGAAATAGAAATAAAAACAGAAATAGAACTATAGAAATAAAAAAGGATAGAAATCTAGAAATCTAGAAATCTAGAAATCTAGAACTCTAGAAATATATAAATAAATATATATATAAATACAGAAATATAGAAATGTAGAAATATAGAAATACAGAAATGTAGAAATAAAAATACAGAAATAGAAATAAAACCAGAAATAAATAGAACTATAGAAATAAATATAAATAGAAATATAGAAATAAAGAAATACAGAAATACAGAAATGTTGAAATAAAAATATAGAAATATAAATAAATATAGAAATAAAAATACAGAAATAGAAATAAATAAAGAAGTAAATAGAAATAGAGATACCAAAATATAAACAGAAATACATAAATACAATTCAAAATACAGAAATAAAAATGAAAATGGAAACGTAGAAACAAAAAGAAATAGAAGTACAGAAATACAGAAACAGAGTGGGATAAAATAGAATATTCTGAGGTGGAGGGGATGCTGGAACAACATGGTCCAACTGCCCAACCACTTCATGACCAAAAGTTGTTCATGGCATTGCCCAAACGCCTCCCAAACACTAAAAAATTCGGGATAGCCACTCCTGCCTGCAGCCCAGCACATTTTAAAGGATTTTAGAGCTGAAGGTTCACCTTTACAGCAAAATTTTCCGGTAGGACAAGGAAAACTGCTTAAGAGCCAATAAAAGTAGGACCCGCAGCCAAGCCACTGGATTTGGATAACGCGGGATTCGGGTCAGCGGGATGAGATGGGATTTTTCCATGTGAGCTCCCTCTGTCCACCCAGGGCCGAGATCTTTGCTCACAGGGGTGGAAAGAGCTGCTAGAGCACGACGGGGGTGGAAATTCCCTCGGGATTTGGGGGCCACACTCACTTTTCCAGCAGGATGAGGGCTGTGGTGGGGTTCACGCGAAGGTACTTGCACGTGGGCTGCCCGTAGTCGGCCAAATACGTCGACCAATCCCATTGGATGAACAGATCCAGGAGCTGGAAAGGATAAAACAAACGGGGTTTGAAAAAGATGGAAAAGGGAGCAGGTGTTTCCCTGGAAGCTGGCAGAGGTCCTGGGCAGGTGGAGTTATCCGTAAAAAAATGAGTGCAGGCTTTATTAATTTGTTTAGTATTATTCTGTTAACGTTTCATCATTCGCTTGGTTGTACTTCATTATTAATTTAGGAATAATTAACATTGATTAATGCAGGGCTGTATTAATTTAGCCATTGAGCATTCCTGCTCTGTGATCCCTAATTTTGGGGATTCGAGGGGGATTTGAGGTCTGAGGCACCTCGAGGACGTGGGTGACAAACAACCCCAGTGCCCTGACGCTCTCAGCTATGGCAGGAGGAAACTTTTGAGGTCAAAGTCACCACAAACTGGTTCCAGCATCATTCCAACCATTCCCCACAGATTTCTCATTGCCCTGGGTCCATCCCAACACCCTCCAAGGGCTCTGGAAGTGTCTCCAATGCCCTGGGGAGCTCGGGGGGGTTATTCCGGGTGAGTGCAGCTCCCGGAGCTGGGAGTCCCAGGTGCTTTCCAGACGTTGGTAAGAGAAACCACCAGGCCTTGGCAGCAGGGGAAAGAAAAGGGATTAACTCGGCCATCCGTGACCGCCAAAATTCCCACCCGCAGCCCTTCGTGTCCACAAATGACCCCGCTCCTCCCAGCCAGGTGAGGCACGGGCAAACAACAGCCCAGGTCGCCCCAATGTCCTCTTCCCACACCGTCCCATCCTTGTTTTCCTTAAAAACCGGGAGCTGCCATGCCCTCCTCACATGAGGCTCTCCTCACCTCAGAGGGGATTTGGCCTCTCCACCCACCCACGAGGGCACGGATTCGCTGTGTATCTCAGAATTATTCCAGTTGGAAGAGCCCTCCAAGGTCACCAAATCCATCCATCCCCAGCATTTCCACCCCCATCCCTGACCCACGGGCCAGGGATGTTCTCTAAATGCCCAAGTTCCCTAAACGCCCTCTTCCCACACCGTTCCCATCCTTGTTTTCCTTAAAAACCAGGAGCTACCATGCCCACCTCACATGTGGATGTTCTCATCTCAGTGAGGACTTGGCTCCTCCACCCACCCATGAGGACAAAATCCCAGTTCCCTAAATGCCCTCTTCCCACACCACTCCTATCCTTATTTTCCTTAAACAACCAGGAGCTGCCACGCCCTCCTCACATGACAATCTCCTCCATCAACGACGACTTGGCTTCTCCGGCCACTCATGAAGGCACAGTCCAATGGCCTCTTCCCATTTCGTTCCCATCCTTGTTTTCCTTAAAAACCAGGAGCTGCCACACCCTCCTCACATGACGATCTCCTCCATCAACGACGACTTGGCTTCTCCAGCCACTCATGAAGGCACAGTCCAATGGCCTCTTCCCACTCCGTTCCCATCCTTGTTTTCCTTAAAAACCAGGAGCTGCCATGCCCACCTCACATGTGGATGTTCTGTCTCAGTGAGGATTTGGCTCCTCCACCCACCCATGAGGACAAAGTCCCAGTTCCCTAAATGCCCTCTTCCCACACTCCTATCCTTATTTTCCTTAAACAACCAGGAGCTGCCACGCCCTCCTCACATGAGGATCTCCTCCATCAACGACGACTTGGCTTCTCCGGCCACTCATGAAGGCACAGTCCAATGGCCTCTTCCCACACCACTCCTATCCTTATTTTCCTTAAACAACCAGGAGCTGCCACGCCCTCCTCACATGACCATCTCCTCCATCAAGGACGACTTGGCTTCTCCAGCCACTCATGAAGGCACAGTCCAATGGCCTCTTCCCATTTCGTTCCCATCCTTGTTTTCCTTTAAAACCAGGCGCTCCCCTGCCCTCCCCACACGTGGATCTCCTCACCTCGACGAGGACGTGGTTTCTTCACCCGTCCACGGCGGCACGGCCCAGCATTCCCGGGATGCCGCCTTCACCCCTGCCCCATCCACAGCAGGTTAATTAAGAGCTCCTGCCGTTCCCCCCTCCCAGAGATCCCGTCTTGGAGCGCCGCTGTGACCGCTCTATTTGGGGACGGGCTGCCAAGCGCGTGGACGTCTTCATCGCCCGCTCGGCGCGCCCCGGTGCCCACCACCGGAGCCGGGAGAGGCCGGGCCCGTCCCGCGGCCAAGCGGGGCCCATAGAGGCCTCATTGTCCCCGCGTCTCCATGGTTTTCCTGGAGGCCCCGGCGCTGTTTAACAACGCATCCTGCCCCGCCAAGAAGGGGATTTAGCTCCTCCGAGACCTCCAGATACAAAACAAAAATGTGCAACAAGATTCTTTTTGACTATGTAGGTCAGGGCAAGGAAAACAAGCTGTCGGGAACAATCCCCCGGGCTGGCGGGGGGGACGGATTAGCCGGGACCTAAGAGGGCTTTTCCAGCCCGGGTCCCGCTCGGCTTTGTCCGGCGGGGCCTTTGTGTTGAGCTACAAACCCAAGCTGAACATCATTGGCAGGAGGTTTTTTTTTTCCAAGGGGGCACCTTGGAGAGAGACAACCTTAAATATGATTTCACAGGCGCTTTTCAGGCCGAGCGCCGGGGCCAAAACGCTTCCGCGGGGTTTGGCGGCTGCTGGGAGGAGTCGCATGGCTGTAGAGCCTCAAAGGGAACCCCCACAACGCGCCAAAGACCTCTTGCTGGTGGCCCCCGGGAGGCTGAACGTGCCTCGGGCAAATCCCGAACAAAGCCTGAGCGGGCTCTTGCCATGGAGCGTCCAGGGGCCAGGTAGCTGTTGGTGGGGAGGGGGAATAAAGAGCCACGAGGAAAGGGATGAAGGAAGAAAGGAAATAAAAAAGTGAGGATTAGGAAGGGGGTTTGAAGAAGATGGAATTAAACCATTGGGAGTTTTTCTGGCAGAGGCTTGGGAGCAGTGCAGGAGCTCAAAGGGACACGGAGCTGCTCCAGGGCTGGAGTCCCTCTGCTCTGGAGGCAGGCTGGGAGAGCTGGGAATGTTCCCCTGGAGAAGGGAAGGCTCCAGGCAGAGCTCAGAGCCCCTTGCAGGGCCTGAAGGGGCTCCAGGAGAGCTGGAGAGGGACTGGGGACAAGGGACAGAGGGACAGGAGCCAGGGAATGTCTCCCACTGCCAGAGAAATTCCAGTGACCCCAAACCATTGACAGCAGCTCCACACGAGCCCAGGTGTGCCCAGGTGGCCAAGAAGGCCAAGGGCACCTGGGCTGTGGCATATCTGGGGTGGCAGCAGGGCCAGGGCAGTGTCCTTGTCCCCTGTGCTGGGGCAGCTCTGGAGAGCCCTGAGGGACTGGAGCCTGGCCAGGGCAGGGAACGGAGCTGGGAAGGGGCTGGAGAGTTCCCAAGGGAGCTGGGAAGGGGCTGGAGAGTTCCTGAGGGAGCCGGGAAGGGGCTGGAGAGTTCCTGAGGGAGCTGGGAAGGGGCTGGAGAGTTCCTGAGGGAGCTGGGAAGGGGCTGGAGAATTCCCGAGGGAGCTGGGAAGGGGCTGGAGAGTTCCCGAGGGAGCTGGGAAGGGGCTGGAGAGTTCCTGAGGGAGCTGGGAAGGGGCTGGAGAGTTCCCGAGGGAGCTGAGGGGGCTCAGCCTGGAGCAGAGGAGGCTCAGGGGGACCTTGTGGCTCTGCACAGCTCCTGCCAGGAGGGGACAGCCGGGGGGATTTGGGATCTGTTCCCAGGGAACAGGGACAGAAGGAGAGGGAACAGCCTCAGGGGAGCCTCAGGGTGGATATTGGGAATATTCCTACATGGGAATGGGAAGGGCTGTCCAACATGATGGAGGCCGTGTCCCTGGGAGGATTTGAAGGATCCACTTGGGGACAGGGGTCAGCAGTGGCCTTGGCAGTGCTGAAGAAAGGCTGGACTCGATCTCTGAGCGCTTTTCCAACCTTATTGATTCCGCGACTCCCAGCGCTCCCACCTCAGCCTGGACCTTCCCAGAGCTCTCGCAGAGCCAGACCACCCCCAGGTGGCTCCCGACAGTGACGGATGGGCTGTGTATTTTCCAACTCTTTGCCCACATCCATCTTTTTCGGCTCGGCAGCTCCACGGACGGCCGGGGCCAGCACCTTTGGCCCCGGCTGCCGATGCTCCCGGCCCGGCTGCGGGTCGCGCTCCGGAGGGGAGAGGTCCTGCAGGAGGAAGCCCGAAGGCTCAGGGAGAGCTGCCTCCAGACGATTTATCTGTCACATAAATGTGGTTTTATTGGTTTTACTGCTTCAACTTTTCACCTCTGCTGCTAAATCTGAACGGGCCGAGGGGAAAGGAAGAAAAGGGAAAAGGAAAGAAGAGCCGGCAGCGCGGGGCTGCCGCGGGTCTGCCCAGGGAGTTTCCAAATCAAATATGCAAATACCATTAATTCTTTAAACTGGAGTCTCCCTTTCAAGGCCATAAATCAAACTCGACAGCACATCCACTGGGAGGCTGGGGCGGGGGAAGGAAAAGAGAGGAGGGAAAGGGGAAAAAAGAGGAGGGAAAAATTAAGAGGAGCTTTCACCACGGTGATGTGGGACTGGGATAAGATCAGGAAGCTGCAGATGTGCTCGGGGCTGGGGATCTGCAGCTTCCCAGGGTTCCAGGAACACCTTGAGGAGGAGCAGGGAGAGGTGCAGGTACAGCTTTATAAGAAAAGAGAAGTGGAGGATGGGTTGAAAAAAATGCCAGAAAAAATGTATTAAAAAGTACTAAAATTGGTTTTATACACACACAGGAGCTTGTATCCAAATTGAAGTGCAGAATTCAAGAGAAGGAAACGCTGGAATGGAAGAATTAAACTGGGAGCCAGCTCCCAGCCCTGTCCCAGGTTCCCCTAGGAAGAACTTTCCCCCCATTTCATGGAATCATCACGGAATCATTTAAACTGGAAAAGACCTTTCACATCATCAAATCCAACCACCAGTTCTACCTCAAAACCACTTCCTTTTCACCCCCCTTGCAACGTCACCACCTCAAACTCTTCAAAAATGTCCTTTTTCATCCAGGCAGACAGATTTTTATCCCCCTCACCTCAAGCAGAGGGTGAGGGTGGCT